CTGATTTTGTGTTGATGCTTGGAACCAGCAAGTCCACTTTTTATAAATACCTTAATATGTCCTTGTTGCTCATAGAAGACCCATTCTTCATCTGCTTTGTCCCTGTGAGAGACCTGATAACTAGTGACCCACTGATCAGGTGACCACCTGCTACTAAGTCCCTGGGTGCCAATCCCTGTCACTATCGTCTTCAATTGAAGGTTAATCTCAAGCCACTGTTTGTCGTCTGAGACAGCCGCTGACCAACCAGCTGGTAGCCACGGGTAAAAAGAGCGCATGTGCAGTCTGGCCCGGGAAGCACGCAAATAATAAATTCGCTCAGAGGAAGCTGCTATGGCTGAATAGGGGATTAGATGGTTTTGCATTCCCAACGGCTCAGAGCAGACTGAATAAAAAATAACAACAGTAATGATGGTAATACTTATACTACAAATAGTTGTACAGTCAAACCATTTATTAAATGGTCAACCACGGGAAACGGCTGCTTACACAGGTTGACCGCTTGATACATGCTCCACAAAGTAAGCGTATCTTAGGACAAAAGTGCCATTTTATGCAATAATCGAGCACCCAACACACACACACATACACACACACAAAAAAAAACTCATTTTAAAAACTAATTACACGAATTTCGGGAGATAACAATTAATCAAATTTCACTTGAAATGCTCAGTTTTGTTTGAGTGGTTCCACTTTAAGAGACCATTCAATACAGGGGAGGACAATGCAAGAAGGCCGTTGGGACTCACCTAAATTAAGGGCGACCATGACGGCTTAATAGGGGTAAATATTCTTGTATGTAAGAGAAAATAAATTTCGTGACTTTGACAACTGACTACTTAATAGGTGCGGCTAAATACAGGCTCGACTCTTGTAGCAATAATATTAATAATGATAGTGATAATGACAATAATGCTTTCTCTAAAGTTCAATCAAGTGGCTCTGCATTTTTTCTAATAATTCGTAAGAGCTGAATAAACCAACTCAAGAAAAAAACTGTGAAATTTAAACATAGTATATATCTTATCTTGATTTGGGTCTAATTTTGAATTTGAACCGTTTGGTAGAATCTGTGTAATTGACAAATATCGCTGTATCAAAGAACAGCCCAAATGAACAGTCATTACCAGCTAAGAGATTTTTTCTTTATGTTCCTCTTAAAACTGGAAATTGGCGCAGTCAATGGTTTAATTACGTTAATGACCTAGAAGTTCTTCATTACCATTAATAAAGCTCTGTTTCGAATGAATAAAGGCTGATAGTTTCTAAAGAAACTGTTTGGGGCTGCGTCGGTGGGGAGTAACGGAACAATTTGAATTTATCAACAAAGTTGAAATGGTAAATTGGCCACCTCTTGGTCAGCTCTTACGAATGATTAGAAAAAATGCAGAGCCAATTGATTGAACTTTAGAGAAACCATTATTGTTATTATCACTATCATTATTATTATTATTATTATTATGATTTTTTTCAGGTCTGATTTTCGCTATTGTATAAATAGCGCTATCTACTGCGAGGATCGTGCATCATACGTAAATTGGCCACCGTTGCTGACGTTTCAAGCTAATGACCAACCAGCACTTTTAAATGCGCTCGTGCACGATGCAAAACGTGTCCTTTCATTCACAACACTGATAAAATATCGGGACCTAAACGATCCATTAAAATCACCGATCACTTCACGTGCACCTCCGCCAATGTAATCTATTGCATAACTTGCACTTATTGCAAAAAGATATACATCGGCGAAACAGGCAGAAGACTAGGTGACCGATTCCGAGAACACCTTCGAGACGTGGAAAGGAATGACAAGGACACATCGAAACCAGTCGCTAGACATTT